ATGGGCCTTAGAATATCCTGAAAGTTTCAGCTAAAAAAAATATTCCTTTCTTGAGATATTGAATTTTCAAAAAATAGTCGCCTGCCACAGATTGGTTACAAAAACCGAGTTCACTTGAAAATTCAACATCTCAAGAAAGGAACATTCTTTTTAGCTGAAACTTTCAGGATATTCTAAGGACCATTAGGCCTATCTATGGGCGAAATATCAAATCGAAATTTTCTATTTTGATTTTTTCGTAAATACCTGGGAATGGGTCGAAAATTTAATAAAACGACCGTAACTTTTCAAGGAAGAACATTGGGGAAAAATCCCTTTAGGCTTTTTTGCTATCTCAATATACTCGATTAAATGAGATACGAACGAATCAAAACGGAGGGTATCATCTGAAAAGGTTCCCTCGTTAGTGATATTTCTGTAGAAAACTGGTGAAAATGTAATTTTAACTCCAAATTGCCCATGATGTATCAAAAGTTGACTTTTTAAGCGTCTATAGAGTAACTGTTGTGACTACAGTGTTTCCATCTAAGTATAAGATACAGAGAAGATACCTTTTCTTAGGACAGTAGTTAACACAACTGCTCGGTTAGCAGGAAATGTAGGATTGAATTGCACGCGAAAGAAAACTGTTTTTCTTACCGTTCTGTTATTATTCCATCTTGTAGCTCTCTCATTGATAAGAATTCAAAATATTAACATTTTTTACTCAATGTGGTTTTCACGTTTAAATAGATTTAGTATATGTTTGAAAATTCACTCTGACTGGATAATTACTTTGAAACAAACAAACAATATCCTTTATTTTCTTGTAATTTCTGATTTGTTTCAATGAGAAGACTATCCATTTCAATTGAACTGATACTGCCTAGAGTATGTATTTGTTTTTGTAATTCAGATTATAATGATGCGTCACTGAACAAGAAAAAACTTGTGAATCTCAATAGTTGGAATTCATATAGTTGTGATTCTAGGGAAAAAAACGTCTACTACAGATAAACGCCACACGGGTGTTTTACCTCAACATACAAGTACAAATGTTCATTATGAAAAACATTATGGTATAATTAAACGGTTATCTACTATCGAGCGTAATTGATCGAAATATATAAGCAACATTTAGATAAATATTCAATGTGAAGGATAATTCTTATGAAGATGATTATGACTCGATCTAATGAGTAAATTTTTATGAGCAATAAAACAGTCGACAAATATTTTATTTCTGAAATCGAAATGGTTGCCATGGATACGTTTGACAAGCATTATTAGAAAAATATCTGCAGAAAACCACTGATACTAATTCCAGTAACATCATAACAATTAGTGGCACGATCGAACTTTATAATTAGAGCAGTATTTGGTCGTCCTCTACTCTTCGTAGTAACATCCTCATTACTGATCATAGAAGTTGTAAGACTCTTAGGTGAAATAAATCCATCTTTTTGTCCTGATAGATAGTTAATATATAGAAACAGAAAATAGATTCGTCTGATATTTTAGGTATATTTTATCCTCATCGAACAGTCATTTCTTCAGGATAGGGATATGCATACCTCTTTTTTAACGTGAAGTCATTGTTCTTCATTTAATATTCTATTTTGGACGTCAAAGAAATGTTTTCAATATACAGAATGCACCATAAATAATTTGGCGACTAAAAATTTAAATACTTCTACATCGGCTCAATCAAGTCGGCTGATTTTTTATTAGTGGTAGAATTTTAGTTAAAATTATATTTCATGTGAATGTTGTAAATAAATATTGCTATTAAATATTATAATTGACCTCAGAACAAAAATTTTCTCTTCTCAAGTACGCAAAACATGTGAAGCCTTCTGTCGATAATTTTCAACTGTCATCTGAGAGGATGGGAAGAGAAAACAAAACAATCTTTAGCAGTGAAACAACATTGATATACAGTTGAAATCCTTCGGGTGCCGAAACAACAGGTTGCTAGCAGTCACCAGTATTTCACACGCGGTAATTTGAAACATTGTAACTGTTGTCTTTTAAAGCAACTAGTTCAGAAAATTTCAAGAGCGAAAAAGCAAGACTTCACGTACTTCGGAACCGCAAGTGAAGTACGATGAAGTATCGTACTTTATGTACTGGGGTCACGCTTTTTCCCTCCGAAAAAAATTTTCTTGTAGTGTGCCAATGGCGCATCATTTCTGAAGATTGTTTTGTTTTCTCTGTTCATTCTCTCATATGATAAGTGAATATTATCGAAAAAAAGGCTCCACATATATTTTGCGTACTTATGAACAGAGAAAATTTTTGTTGTGAGGCCACTTCTAATATTTGATAGCAATATTTAATTATATCATTCACATGAAACATAATTTTACCTAAAACTCTAACACTACTCAAAGATCAGCCTACCTGATTAAACTGAAGTAGAACGATTTAAATTTCTAATCATTGAGTTATTCATGGTCTACCCTGTGTATGTCAAGCTCGATTAAAAAGCTTAAAAGTGAAAAAGTAGGTTCCTGCTATTTTTCTTATGCAAGCATATGAAAGGCTGAAATTTTAGGCATGTACCTAACTCGATTAGAGTCACTTATTCTCAAAAGATATTGATGTTCGTGGATGTTCGGGTGTTTCACAAATATCCGAAATCGGCTTACCAGAAGATGCCAAGGGATCCTAATTTGTAACATTTTTTCGATGTCATAAACGATTATTTATCATCAACTCAATTAAACAAGTGCGTCGATACGTTTTCTTGCATCTTCCACACATACACAATTAATTAAGAAGACAGATTCTAACAACTACGCATGAAATGATCCTGAATTGGTCACTAACAGCTGTTTGTCTCGAATCACCTGTTCACTGACATGCTGACGACATCAAGGAATTGATTGCAAGAACTCTGCACACAGCTGGTGTTCTCTTTAAAGCTGCTAACTAATATTGGTTGTAGGAAAGATGTCAGAGTACTGAATCTAGCACTAGATAGTAGTCCATACCACAGGATAGCCGAAAACTCAGAGTATTCTTCCTTACTATTACTCGCCGTTTTCAATTTATTTCTTCATTTTACTGATGTGAGTCCGTTTTGTATTAAGTGTTTCAGATATTTTTGTTTTATTTATTATTATGTGTTTATCAGAAACATGCGACAAATAAACACTTAGCAGCCAGTGGTTTTTTCAAAGTCAAAACTACACATATATGATGTAGTGGGATATAGATAGTTTCAGACAAAATAATAATTCGATTATTTTTTTCCAATCTCAGCTGATGAACTAAATAGACCAGCGTTGTTTGCTTGATTCATCCAATCCACAAATGCAGCTTCAATAGCACTGGATTTACCTTGTCGTGTAGCTTGTCCAACAAACGGATAATTATCACATGAAAATCGTGCATCCTACTTCTATTCAAAGCTAGAAAGGCGACCTTTTAAACTACTGCGACAAGTGGTACCGAACATTGACTGAGCAGCACCATCATTCCACGAATGTAAATCAATGACTGGCATAATTAAACCAGCTCCAAGACCGGCACATGACATTAAGCTTCCTGCAAGACAAGACCGAATTTGAAGAAGATCTATCGCTAATGTTGTCGATGCAACGAGAGCCAATATCAAAAAATAAATCAACTGCATTTTTTTGATAATATTATGCAGAAGACAACAGAATCCAGATTGAAATAAATTGCAAATCAGCCCTTTTTAAGGAGACAGATTCGAATTCAGATGTATATTTCTCAGTAAGATCAAAAAGCTTGATTGCAACGTGGGAATCCAAACTATGCTGTATCGCTTCATTCCAGCAAACAATGAATTTACCATGAAGAAAACATCTGATTCTTTTCCCACAATTCCACTTCTCATCATTAAGAACTAATAAAAAAAATCGAATTTCATACTATGGTATATCAACGTCAGAGATTTTTACATTGGATTGTCTTTCTCATTGCTGACAATATACGTTGCCGATAGTGACAATACCGAAATAATAGTTCGTCTAAACTTAATTTGTCGATTTTCAGCGAAGAGCATATGGTGTGGCTATAACAAGTTCCCATGATACATGTTTCGATGTTGTTTATGAAACTCGTCACATGGCAATTAATTCTTAACGATTTTGGAAAATTAAAACATTTTCATTCTTCTGTTTTCACAATTCCAATAATTATCGGCAGAATTGCTGATAAAATAGAAAAAAAATATTAATTAGGCTATGTCGAGAATCATATATTTTGATAATATTCATGTTTCGTAGAGATTAATTCTGTAATAATACTTGTTTAGGTCGTTTATGTATAACTTTATATAGGCTCGATACATCTCTCATTTAAATGATTGAAAACGTTTTTCACGAATCTAACAAATCAGTCATTGTTCTGTCTGCTTTTTCTTTGTGTTGTAGTTTATTTGCCGATTTAGTTGGGTAAATTCGTATTTCATTTGTTAGATCGTTGTGAATATTAGTTGTTTCTGCACTTTTCAGCACTCGTGATTATCGACTATAGTCGATTGATGTAACAACTTCGAATACATAATAAAAGGATGATTTTTGTTTATCAATAAAAGATATTTTTTTTTAAATTTATCTTCAACAAATAATGATGGATAATTAAAGAAAACTATATCAATACAAATAATTATAATTTATATATGTATGTGAAAGAGACTTAGTCATTATAAAATGGAGTTAATTTAATATAACGTTATCCATTATTGAATGTTTCAAATACGAATGAACATTTTATAGTACGCGCAATACTAGTTGGTATAAAACTGAGCGATATATATGTCGAGGATGATCAAAAATAAACGAAACAACAGCAGTATGACGAAATGATTTACTCGCTCATGTTTTATTCAAGGAATGAATCAATATGGCATGAACAGACGAGAATAGATAATTCATATATGCGCCCATACATAGGTATGTGATACATATCCTGGAAAATGGAAATGAAGAATAGCGACCAAGAGAATCAGTCGTATACTCCATCAGCTACGATGCGAGTGCATCTGGACGAGCTGAAGTACAGAAAATAGCAAGAATCTTAAGCAGACAAAAGATAGAAAAAAAAACGAAAAGAAGATGAGCTAACAATGTTGTATTAAACATTTGCGACAATAAATCGTAACAAATTAGAAACAAGAACGAAGAAAAAGACAAAAAAAATTAACACACATAAACGTTTATGTAGCGTGGAATAACGTTCACAAAATCCTAGTTGGAAACTTTGAAACACAGTATACTACTACAAGCAGAAGGCTTGTTCATGCTCATTTTTCTCAAAAGAATAGCATACAATTGATAATGCATCGTTGTTGCTGTTGTACACTATATCATCGTATTTTGAAAATAATTTAATTGATAAAAAAAGAAAGGACCTAAGTAAAACAAAAAATTAAGGTGAGATAAAAGCACTCATTGTTGAAAGAAGCGTGACATACATCACTCCAATAGCAAGTTGAGTTCTATAGTTTGTCTTGTGAATTCTCGTTTGCTCGTTTTGATGATGGCAGATTGAGAGTACTTCCACTAGCATCAACCATTTTTAGTTTAGAAGTATGCTTTGCAATAAGATGCCTATTTTGATCAGCACAATCGTACAAAATTCTACCAAGTTTTTCCACAGTCTATACAATTTTCTGGATATTTAACTCAGACTCTTGAAAACGATGTCTTAATTGAAGGAATTCGGAACTTCGATACAGAACAAAAAGTACAGCGAGTGTGTTAATATTTGTAGACCTGGGTGTGGAATAACAGATCTTCTAAACGCGCTTTTAGGTTTTGAGAGTCATTAAGTTGTTGGGTGATAAGAATATCAATTGTAGTTGTAGAGTTAATAAATCTTAAGTCGCTTGATATCCTAATTGTACACTTTACAAATCATGTGTGTCTTCGATATAATAAGTTTTTCTGCATTTCATTGATACTTCTATTATTTCTGAATCTTTCGAAATTAATCTGTGAAAAAAATGTCATCTTATTCATCTCTACAAAAATTCATAAGAAAGATCATTTATCTGATGATCAATGATCTCGGAAAACAGTTATGGGTTGCTAGAGATCTCTCACTTGGCGTACTTTCTGATAGCAGATTTAGACTAAAAGAACACATTTCAGTTTCACAATTCAGCTTTGAAATGGATCTGTTAACAAGCTTTTTTTGTTTGAACTGTATATCATGATACAGGGTACGGCAGAGCTTTTTTTCTAGATTTTTACTCTGTAGGGAAAGAATAGGGTAAAAGTTATGAGTCGCAAAATACTCAACAAACTAGCGCTTTCATTATTAAGACCCTCTTTTATTTAGTAACAGTAAAACTGCAATCAAAAAAAAAATTCTGTGTTGGCTTGCATCTTGACATAATCAGATATAACGGACTAGAAAGCGACGAGTAATATATATACATAAATCGACGAACTTCTGGTACAAAACGTAGGACGATGGGAGGTGTGGGTATTCCGTTGCACTTAAAAAACGAACGTCCCTACTCACACACTCACTAGTTTCATCCTATTTGACGATGCATTTGTGTTTTACAGCAAGCTTCAACATGAACTGAAACATAATTCAGAGCCGAGCTTAAAAGAATAGGACTTCAAATGTTTACTTGTCGTCATGTTTCGTCTTTCTGGGCGTGGGTAGACAATGAAATATCCGCACTTCCCTTACTCACCGATTAAATTTCTTTCATCCTATATATGATTGTACTGGATTTAGTATGAAGAAGTCCTATGTATCAAATCATGTTCTTATGTGGTCCTGTCTTTTGTTTCTTTTATTTATCCCAAATATACTTTGTTTTTTTTTTCATATAAAACTTGTTAAAAAATAGTTGAATACAATTTACATTTTTTTAGTTAAAGTAAGCTAAGAATACAGAAAACTAATAATAATCAAGTGAATATAATATAAGAAAGTTGAATAATAATAATGTCTCACAAAAAAAAAACATCACGTAGAAAGACAATGATCACTCGGATTGATAGACAAATACAGAAAAAAGAAAAACAATCGTTTAACTGTCTTCACTTTCTTCATCTGGTTCTAATCCATAAGCTTCTTCAGCTGACATGTAATATTTATTTGCAAGACGTCCTTTCATTGCTGCCGTTGCCATTTCTGGTGCTTTATTAAATAAATCACCTTTTAATAAAAAAAAAAAGTAAACGTTCAATCCACTCGAATTCGACTTTTATAGAAGAAACAAAACAAAATTACCAGCTTTCTGATAATTGCATAATAAATTATATCCACCTGTTTTATATAAAGTAGCTAAACGAGCAACTGTATCATGACGATCATGAAATGGAATTTCATTATGAATTGCATTAGTTTGACCTGATTCATTAGTTTCACTGTCTTCATCAATAATATCTGATTCATTTTCACGTATACGAATATATTTTTCATAATATTCAGCTGCTTGTTTCCAATCTGATTCGCTAAAATAAATAAAATAAACAAAAACAAAATGATTAATAGAACTAAGAAATACAAACAAAGATTCTTCAACACCATTATCAAAGAGTTGTGCTAAATAAAGATTTGCTTCTGTTTCATGTAATTCACTAGCACGAATCATCAAATTTAAACCTTTACTGATTTGATTAACTTGATCCTATGAAAAAAAACAATCATTTTCTATATTGATTATTTGTAAAATTAAAATTTTACCGTTGGACGATAATGTGATAAAAGATCACGAGGTAAATCTAAATAAACTTTTGCTAATATAAATATAGCTTCCTTAATACATAATTCAGCTGCTTGTTCTAGATGAAAAAATGCTGATTCTTCATCAAATTCTTCGGAACCTAATTCACTAAATCTACCAACTTGATAACATTTACACATTTCAAGATGAATCTACATTATAAACATATTGACTAATTAGAAATTATTCTTAGAAAAAAACAAACTTTTATTAGTTTTCATTAATAATAGATTAAATAAGTTAATTGAAAGAGTTATTGTTTACAACAAAGAAGTAACACTATAATATTAGGAATCACTGCTAAGCCGAATAAAATTAAACATCAGATATGGTCTAGATACTTCCGATTCTAACAGAACTATGTGCTGTTTTTTACTAGGATCAGGAATCACAATTTCTTATGGGCAACGATATATTTTATGGTCATGTAAAACTTGTATTGAATGTCATATTATTATTTATACCACTGCGTAAGACTTTTTTTGGAATTCAGTATAGAAAAAAAGCTTTTGATGAGTATAGAATTGAATCCAATTAGATTTTCTACCATCATATCAAATTAAAAGTAGAACTTGAATTTAGATCTTTTTTTCTTTTGGCAAAACATGGTATATGTTATTATTCATTCTCTATTTGATTGGTGTATAATTGTGTAATATAGCCCACTCACAAATTATACTATTCACATTGTTTCATTAACGATGAAGAGAAAAGAAAAGAATCAAAACAAAACAACACAAATAAAAATTGGTTACTTTGTCAAGCATCAAATTATTATGATGCTTGAAAAAGTGACCAATTTTTATTTGTTTTGTTTT